TAACTGCATGTATAATAATTTTGAGAGGTACGTCAAATCTTTTGACTGTTAATCTGGCGCCAAACGTTAGCACTCGCGGTGTTTATATTATTTTTAATGATGATCATTGCAAGTTGCATGGAACATATTGCTTGGTGTAACATCCCTTGAAATGGAATGCTGAAATCGTTTTCACTAACATTGCGAGACAAGTTGCTTAGTGTAACAGCACCTAAATTTTAAAGGCTCTTTCCACTCATTGCTAGAGTCCACTCGCAAGACCGCTGCAAGTGCTTTCATCTAAATAAAGTAAACTGTCGAGCATTGTGATTGGATGAAAGTACTCGCAGCGAGCTTGCGATGAATGGAAAAGTAAGTGCCTTAATATAGAGTTCTGCACCGGAATCGCACGGCCACAGCCGGTCCTATACTTAGGTCCAGGGTCTTAGCTAGAACGCCATGTTACCGCGGCCAGAAATGGAAAAACACTGCAAGATAAAACAAACGCAGCTTCATTATTGATATGTAAAGCCGAGAGTTACCAAATTAAAGACGGAGTTTCCACCTATTTATGTCGTGAGAAAGTTTGGAAATTTTAGGCTTGTTGAATCTGAAAAGTGATTCGTGATGTTTTTATGTTTAGATGGATATAGGTAACGGTATACCCGTTACGTTTTAGGGGGAGTTACTATTTTTAGACTTTTGTAATTTTCTATTCTTTGTATTTTAAACTTAACCCTAATTCCCTTGCTCTAACCTTAATCCTTTCCCTAAACCAAACCCTAATCCTAACCCTAAAAGTCTAAAAATAGTAACTCACTCTAAAACGTGACTCATGATCTATCGAGGATCATTTCAATGAAATATAGTGTAGCAGTCTAACCCAACTAACCCTCCCCCCCCCTGGTTTTGTACATTTTTCGCTAAAAATACGAGAAAAAAACTCAAATATATATACAACGAAATGATTGTGGTGTAATTTATTTCGAGAATATCATAGACAATCATAGACCATTATCACGTTCTTTATAAATTTCGATTTGATTTTAGTATTTAATAAATACCAGAGCGGATCAATATTAACCACGCTGCCTGTATCTAGGCCCTTTACTCGGCTGGCTTTTGCAGCTTTGGTCAAATTTTGGGCTTAGCCTAGCATTTGGTAAGCATTTCATTTCACATGTGGCACTAGCGTCAATTGTAA